TCTCTTGCATTCTTTTCAAATCTTTCCCCTTAAACTTACACCCTGTAGTTTTGAATGCCCCACCCTCGGAAAAAGTCCTTGGCTATTCACCCTAGCCATGCCCCTCATGATTTTATAAATATCTGCAAGGTCACCCCTCAGCCTCCGATGCTCCAGAGGAAAACACCCCAGTCTATTCAGCCTCTCCTTATAGCTCAAACCCTCCAGTCCCGGCAACAACCTTGCATATCTTTCCTACACCCTCACAAGTTTAACAATATCCTCCCTAAGAATGGTGACCGGAATTGTACACAGCATTCTAAAAGTGGCCTCACCAGTGCCCTCTACAGCCACAACATGACATCCTAACTCGTGGTTTCAATGCACTGACCAATGAAGGCAAACATGCCAAATGCCACCTTCACCACCCTAGTTACCTGCAACTTCACTTTCAAGGAACTGTGCACCTGCATTCCTGGGTCTCCTTGGCAACATTCCCCAAGGATCTACATTAACTTTATCTGTCCTGCCCTGATTTGCCTTACCAAAATGCAACACCACACATTTATCTAAATTAAACTCCATCTACCACTCCTCGGCCCATTGGCCCATGGGATCAAGGTCCCGTTATACCCGTGAGATAATCTTCTTCAATGTCCACTACACCACTAAATGATGAAAAGCAATGGACCCAGCACCAATCCTTGTGGCACACCACTGGTCTTAGGGCTCCAGTCCTAAAAAAACCTTCTGCCACCACCCTCCTCCTCCTACCTTCAAGCCAATTTTGTATTGAAATGGCTAGCTCCCCCGGATCCCATGTGATCTAACCTTACTAACCAGTCTACCATTTGGAACTTTGTCAAACGCTTTGAGGTCCATTTAGACAACATCTGCCACACTTCCTTCATTAAGCTTCTTTGCTCTTCAAAAAATCTCAATCAAGTTAATGAGGCACAATTTCCCACACACAACACTATGTTGCCTATTCATAATCTGTCCTTGTTTTTCTAAATGCATGTAAATCCTGTCCCTCAGAATCCCATCCAACAACTTACTTAGCACTGACGTAAGGCTCGTTGGTCTGTAGTTCCCTGGCTTTTCCTTACAGCCTTTCTTAAATAATGGCACCACATCGGGCAACCTCCTGTCTTCTAGCACCTCACCACCGGCTGTCGATGATACAAATATCTCAGCAAGCTGCCCAGTAATCCCTTCTCTGGCTTCTCACAAAGTTCTGGGAACTTGATCCTGATCAGGTCCCGGGGATTTATCAACCTTTATGTATTTTAAGACCTCCAGCACCCCTCTTCTGTAATAAGAACTCTTTTCAAGACATCACTATTTATTTCACCAAGTCCCCTAGCTTCCATGTCTTTTTCCACAGTAAATACTGATACAAAATATTTGTTTAATACCTCACCCGTCTCCTGTGCTTCCACACATAGATGGCCACGTTGATCATTCAGGGGCCCTATTCCCTCCCTAGTTACTCTTTTTTGCTGTTAGAGTACTTATAGAATCTCTTTGGATTCTCCTTAATTCTATTTGCCAAAGCTATCTCTTGTCCCCTTTTTGCCTCCTGATTTATTTCTTAAGTATACTCCTACTGCCCTTATACTCATCCAGGGATTCACTTGATCCCTGCTGTCTAAGCCTGACATTTGCCTCCTTTTTCTTGACCAGAGCCTCAATTTCTTTAGTCATCCAGCATTCCCTACATCTACTAGCCTTTCCCTTTGCACTAACAGGAACATACTGTCTCTGATCTCTCATTATCGCATTTTTAAGGCCTGCCACTTCCCAATGGTCCCTGTACCTGCTAATAGCTTCCCCCAATCAACTTTTGAAACTATCCATTTTAACTTTTTGGTCAGTTCTATCCTTTGTGCGTGTGTGTGCACGCGTGCGCGCACACGCACACGCACACATCTGTGGGGTGAATTTATATTTGCAGATACATTTTATTTTGTTCAAACAGCACATAGTTTATAGACAGCCAGTCAATTTGGTGTTTTATAAATTCCTACTTTAGAAATGTAACCAGTCTGACTCCAAACTAAAACGTGAACAGATTCTAAACAAGGTTTCACACCTAACATGCATTGTCTGATCTAAAGTGTCACCTCTTCTTTACACTGATAAAACCTTTAGTTCTCTCAGGACCGTGACTTGAAAGGAATTCAGGGATTTACATATACATATTAATCAATTAAAACCTTCTAACTGATTAAAGATTTAACAGCACCCTAGATTTGTTTAGTACATCCTCATCAATAGTGTGAACCTTTTGATCTTTTACTTATAAATTCTGATACTACCTCTCTCACTAACATCTGAAGAAGGACTGAGACTCCAAAAGCTTGTGCTTTCAAATAAAACTGTTGGACTATAACCTGGTGCCATGTGATTTCTGACCTTGTCCACCCAGTTCAACACCGGCGCCTCCACATCATATTTTAAAACTAGTAGAATTGTGATCACTTGCCCTTAAGTCCTCCGCCATTGATACCTCAGTCACTTGCCCTGCCTTATTTCCCAACAGAAGGTCAAGTATTGCTCCTTCTCTAGTGGGTACATCCACGTATTGAATAAAAAAGTTGTACTGTACACACTGAAAAAATTCCTCCCCATTCAAACCCTTAACACTATGACAGTCCCAGTCTATGTTTGGAAAGTTAAAACCCCCTACCATTACAACCCTATTATTCTTACAGATATCCGAGATCTCCTTACATATTTGCTTCTTAATTTCCCACTGACTGTCAGGGGGCCAAACCTTTCCTGTTTATGTACCTATCCAAATGTCTTTTAAATGTTGTAACTGTTCCTGTATCTACCACTTCCTCTGGCAGTTTATTCCACATATGAATCACTCTCTGCGTTAAAAAAGTTGTCCCTCCTGTCCTTTTAAATCTTTTTTCTCTTAAAAATATGCCCCCTATTTTTGGACTGCCCCACCCTTGGGAAAAGAACCTTGCTATTCACCTTATCTATGCCCCTCATGATTTTATAAATTTCTATAAGGTCACACCTCAAACTCTGACGCTCCAGTGAAAGAGGTCCCAGCCTATCTTTATAATTTAAACCCTCCATTCCTGGCAACATCCTTGTAAATCTTTTTTGAACCCTTTCCAATTTGAGGGTGTACTTCCTGTTGGAGAGCATTGTGAGTGAAAATCCTCCCCCCTGCCTGACCTTGTGGTATGAAACAGTTCAAAAATCCTAACTAGTGAAGTCTGGGATCTTCTGGTCTGTCGGGTCTAGCACTACACTAGCTAGTGCTTTATTCAGAAAGCTACCGAGGAAGCTTGTAAAATGGATATATTGTTTTTTCCCTGAATATGTTTAAAGTGTAATCGTGTTATGTATTTCAATGTCATTTTCTACTTTTGACTTTATAAAAATCTGATAATCTAATTTTTGAATAATCATAAAATTTCAAAAATCCATTTGTCTGATAGGATGCATTGAATGCCTAAACTGGTAGCATACTGTTCTTTTTCTCGTGGTTTTTGAAAGATCTTGTAATTCTGGCTTTGAATCTGGTTAGAATACAAGTGCTGCTTCATTAATGTATATGCCTCCTTCTTTTGTCTCACTTAATTACATCATGGATTGAGATAGTATTATGAAGTGCAGGAATTAGATTCAAATCATGGCTTCAATGGGATAAAACACTGTACCAATATCAATTTTAAAGAACATTTAAATTTATATAGCTTATTGAAACTTTTGATGTTAGAATGTTAATAAAGTAATCTATGACTTGACATAAGCAAGGTTAGTTATTGCCTATTACCATCAGTGGTTAACTTTGATCTGTTAGCTGGAAGTCAATTTATCAGTTTTGGTTTATTTAAAATCTGGCCTCAAGCTATCTAATAATTCTCTGGTTTGAATGCTTAAAAAAACTGATGTCATCAGTAACACTGATCAACCTTCCTGGTTTCTGATAAATTATTTCTAACTCACGTTGCTAAAGCATCTCTATTTTAAAATGCTCCATTTGAACTGTATTTATTAACTGTTAAATCCATCTCACTTTATTGACCATGCTCACAGTAATTATTAGATGATTTGCAGATGTCTTACGACTGGTTTCTTTCACCTAATTTAGTGAACGAGTGATTGTCATGTGCTGGCATAGAACTCTGTAGGTGTTTTAAATACATCAACTCCAGGGAGAGAAAACATAATTGTGAGAACGGTATAGGATATGACTTTTAGCAAAAAAAAGACAAATATGCTTTTACACCTTTACTAAACTTGTTCTGCATTATTGATGAAAACCTGTTTATGCCATTTTGAAACTGCAGTCCATGGTAAGTTCCATTCACCAAATGTTTATTTTGAATTCTTTTTCTGATGAATATTTTTATGTTAATATAAAAATGTGCAGAGTGACTTTCTTTCAGACATTTAAGGCTGAACAATAATTTGCATCGCATTTAAAATTCACTCTTTTTTTCCACAGAAATCTATTCACAATAATTGAACTCCTAAACCTGTCTAGAAAAGGAGTGACTTGTTTCATTTCCCATCCCCCGCCTGTGTACGAAATTGACTTGAAATTGGCAGGCAGATTGTGAAAAATAGGCCAACAGGAACATTGAAAACACCACCATTTCACCATCATATATTAATCTATTGTGCCTCCAAGGCAAGAGTGAAAAAAGTCAGCTAATCCAGATTGAGTCGATCTGATTTAATTCTTGTATTCCTGTGGGAAATATGGCATTTGTCTCCTCTTTGTTCAGCCCCTTATTGCTGTGTTCATGATAGTTTGCAGCCTCCATTTAGTTACAAGTCTATTTCAAAGTTCTTTAATACCAGAATTGGAGCCTGCCATGGATGGCTATTGTCTTGGAGCGTTTATCAATACCATCTGGAATTGGACTTTATTTCATCACATTCTTTTCAATACAAGTTTAATAAAGCTATACCCAATAGCTGGTGCTCAATCTAATAAAATAAGAAAAAGTTAACAGTTTTCTTTTTTCCTTTTCTGAAAACTCCAGATTGAGTCTCTATCATGGTACTCCAAGAGCTTTGCTGCATCCAAAGTTACAGGATCCCATTGAGAGTAAGTTTGTTTTTTGCAAGAGCAGGATATTGACTCCAGTTATTGAAGTATTCCAGATTGTGAATGATTTTTTAAAATCATAAAATACTAGCCTTTGAGTTTATATTTCAGAGCATTGCAAAATAAGGTAAGCAGTTATAATTGCCTATCCTGACAGTTTAACCTGGATTTGACAGATTTCTTCTGTGCTTTAATCATTGTTATTAAAATTCCCATATATTATGTCTTCCAGTTGAAATATTAAAGCTAACATGTACAAGTGAGCTGTTTTATAGCATCAAGCAACAAATTGAATGTTTTCAGCAATAAGCATGAACCAGTTTTTTTTTCAAGTTTTGTCAATTTAATAATTCTAATTTAATCAGCAGACCTGATTTATTGGCACAAACACAAATTTGTTATTTACTCAAGCAAATAACTAACCTTTTGGTTCAAAGAGTCTGTTATCCTTGGAGATGTTTTGCTTATTTATCTCAATGAAGTTGAAGTATTGGCGTTGAGGGTTGAATCTTCTGCCCTATCCAATGGTACAGTTGGTGACAGGGATGGCATTTAATTGGGTGTGAGGTTGGTGGGTGGACGAATGGATGGTATTCCCATCTTTCCACCAATTCAAGCTCTTAATAGGCACTTAAAGGATCCCATCCTGTTAGTACTGGTATTGCCCAGTGGCTGGCAAGGGTTTACTAGGTGACATGGATGATAAGCCAGTGTAGTGTGGTTGTCATTCTGACAGTAGCAACCACCTCCTGGGGGTGGGGAGCTGCCATTGAAATGATCTGGCAGTCTCTGATTGGCTGGCAACTTTAAGTAAGAAAGACTCCAGGAGTCACCATCTGCATCTCAAAGGCAATCAAGGATAAGCAATGAAATATGGCCTTGTGAGTGACAGCCACATGGCCATGAACGAAAAAGAGAAATATCACTAGACCTTTTGTTTTTAATATTTGTTAATGTCATCTACTGTGGAGAATGATAAAAATATTTCAAATCTGTCATTACCTTATTTCCCATAATAATTTATCTTGGATTTACATCTGAGGCACAATGTTTACTTTGCAGTTTTTTTATATATCTTTGGAAACTCTTACAGTCTCCTTTTATATTTGTTGCTAGTTTACTCTTATTCTCCAACTTTCTCCCCTTTATTTATTTTTTGGTCATCCATAGCTCATTTCTAAAGCTGTTCGAATCACCAGGTTGTCGATAACCTCATAAGCTTTTTCTTTCAACCTAATACTTCCTTAATCGCTTCATATTGCCACAGATCAATTACTTGACTGGCTGAATTTTTATTTCTCGTCAGAACAATTTTTTGGTGAGAATTATGGAATGTTTATTCATGTTTTCATTTTTACCATCAGATCCATGCATTTTAATTTCCCAACCTACCTTAGCCTCTCATAGCAATGTTTATTGGTCTAACACTCGAGTTTTTGGACATGGCATTCCACTCTTGAACTCTGTGTAAGCAGTGGGAAGGGTGGCCATTTGATTGACTGGGAAAATATATGTTAGAAATCCCACCATCTATATAAATGATTTGGATGTGAATATAGGAGGAATAGATAATAATTTTGCAGATGACACCAAAATTGGTGGGCTAGTGGACGGTGAAGAAGGTTATCTTGAGAGTACAAACAAGACCTTGATCAGATGGGCAAATGGGCTGAGGAGTGGCAGATGAAGTTTAATCTAGGTAAATGTGAGATGCTACATTTTGGTAAGGCAAATCAGGGCAGGACTTATACAGTTATTAGTAGGGTCATGAGGAGTGTTACCGAACAAAAAGACTTTACGGTGCAGGTTCATGGTTCCTTGAAGGTGGAATCGTAGGTAGGCAGGCTAGTGAAGAAGGCATTTGGTACACTTGTCTTTATTGGTCAGTGCATTAAGCATAGGAATTGGGATGTCATGTTGCAGCTGTATAGGACATTGGTAAGTCCACTTTTGGAATACTGCATTCACTTCTGGTCCCCCTGCTATAGGAAGGATGTTGTTAAACTTGAAAGGGTTCAGAAAAGATTTACAAGGATGTTGCCAGAGTTGGAGGGTTTGAGCCACAGGGAGAGGCTGGACAGGCTGGGGCTGTTTTCCCTGGAACATCGGAGGCTGAGGGATGATCTTGTAGAGGTTTATAAAATCATGAGGGGCATGGATAGAGTTAATAGCCAAGGTCTTTTTCCCAGGGCAGAGGCGTTCAGAACTAGAGGGCATAAGTTTAAGGTGAGAGGGAAAAGATTAAAAAGGGATCTAAGGGGCAACTTTTTCACGCAGAGGATAGTGTGTGTATGGAATGAGCTGCCAGAGGAAGTGTTGGAGGCTGGTACAATTACAACATTTAAAAGGCATGTGGATGGATACATAAATAGGAATACGGGCCAAAAAGAGTCATACAGCTCGGAAACATACCCTTCAGTCCAACCAATCCATGCGGAACATAATCCTAAACTAAACTAGTCCTACCTGCCTGCTCCTGGCCCATATCCCTCCAAACCTTTCTTATTCATTTATCCATTCAAATGTCTTTTAAATGTTGTAATTGTACCTGCATTCACCACTTCGTCAGGAAGTTCATTCCACCCTCTGTGTAAACAAGTTTGCATTTTATGTTTTTTTTTAAATCACTCTCCTTTCACCTTAAAAATGTACCCCCTTGTCTTGAAATTCCCCATTTTAGGGAAATGACAACTACCATCGACTCTATCTGTACCCCTCATTATTTTATAAACTTCTTTCAGGTCACCTTTCAACCTCCTACATTCCAGTGAAAAAAGTCCCAGCCTTTCCTTATAACTCAAACCTTCCATATCCGGCAACATGCTGATAAAAATGCTGGATACTGGGAGTGGATCAGTGGTTAGCACTGCTGCCTCACAGCGCCAAGACGATTCTAGCCGCGGGTGACTGTCTGTGTGGAATTTGCACATTCTCCCTTTGTCTGCGTGGGTTTCCTCCGGGTACTCTGCTTTCCTCCCACAGTCCAAAGATGTGCAGGGTAGGTGGATTGGGCATGCTGAATTGCCCATAGTCTTCAGGGATGTTTAGGTTAGGTGGGTTAGAAATGGAAAATTAGGGGAATGAGTCTGGGTGGGATGCTCTTCAGAGGGGTGGTGCGGACTTGTTGGGCCGAATGGCCTGTTTCCACACTGTAGGGATTCTATGACTCTATGATAACTGGTCAGCATGGACGAGTTGGACGAAAGGGTCTGTTTCCATGCTATACAACTCTATTACTCATCATCCCAATTCCCCCTGATCAAGCCCTGGTGGGAAGTGAAAGGTCCCTCATCACTTGCTAAGACTTGTTCAGATTTTAAGTATGTAATCAGTGCCATTTAACATTGAGAAATGTACCTTAACAGTTTGGTTGCTATTATTATTTCTCCATTGTTTCCAGTAACCATGTTTCCATTCTATCTGCCATTGAATTTTTCATGTGTCGTGTCTCCAGCACAGTCTGTAACCTCATAGCCCAGCATATCCTCACTCAACCATTGCCATCAAGCCAGGCGATCAACCTTGGTTTAAAGGAGAGTGTGGGAGGGCATGCCAGGAGCAGCACCTGGCATACATAAAAACAAGGTGTCAACCTGGTAAGGCCACCAAACAGGACTGCTTGACACCAAACAGCATAAGCAGCTAATGATAGACTAAACAATCCCACAAACAAAGGATCATATCTAAGCTCTGCGGTTCTGCCACATCCCGTTGGGAATGGTGGTGGATAATCAGACAACTCAATGGTGGAGGAGGAGGCTCCACAAATATCCCCATCCTCAATGATTGAAGAACCCAACACAACAATGCAAAAGATAAGGCTGAAACTTTTGCAGCAATGTTCAGCCACAAGTGCCAAGTGGGTGATCCATTGTGGCCTCCTCCAGTGGTCCCAGCATTACAGATACCATCTTCAGACAATTCGATTCACTCCACGTGATATTAAGAAATGGATGAAGCCAATGGATTCTGCAGTGTTGCCTGAGAATATTCCAGCCTGAGTACTGAAGACTTGTTTTCTAGATTTTGCTGTTCCCCTAGCTAAGCTGTTCCAGTACGGTTACAACACTGGCATCTACCCGACAATGTGGAAATCACCCAGGTATGTCCTGTGCTTAAAGAGCAGGACAAATCTAACCCAGCCAATTACCGCTTCTCAGTCTACTCTTGATCACCAGTAAGATGATGGAGCATGTCATCAACAGTGCTATCACCTGCTCAGCAAAAACCTGCTCAGTGACGCCCAGTTTGGGTTCTGCCGGGGCACTCAACTCCTGATCTCATTACAGCCTTGGTTCAAGCATGGACAAAAGAGCTGAATTCCAGAGGGGAGGTGAGAATGGCAGCCTTTGACTTCAAGGCTGCATTCGACCGAGTGTGCAATCAAGGAACCCTAGTAAAACTGGAATCAATGGGTATCGGGGGCAAACTCTCCGCTGGTTGGAGTCATACCTGACACATAGGAAGATGGTTGTGGTTGTTGGGGGTCAGTCAGCTCCATGTTCAAATGAAACAAGATCTGGACAATATGCAGGCTTGGGCTGACCAGTGGCAATTAACATTCGTGTCACACAGATACCAAGCAATGACTATCTCCAATAAGAGACAATCTAATGTTGGAGAAAATTACTGCAGATGCTAGAATCTGAACTGAAAACAAAAAAAGATCACCGTGTATCAGCAGCATGAATGGAGAGAAAGCAAGCTAACGTTTCAAGTCTAGATGATTCTAGACTCGTCTAGACTTGAAACATTTTCTGAAGAAGGATCTAGGCCCGAAACATCAGCTTTCCTGCTCCTCGAATGCTGCTTGGCCTGCTGTGTTCATCCAGCTCTACACCTTGTTATCTCTTGAAACATTAGCTTGCTTTCTGTCCAGAGACAATCTAATCAGCTTCTTGGTGTTTTCAATGGTGTTCATTGGTGTTACCATCACTGAATCCCCTACTATCAAAATCCTTGGTGACGATTGACCAGAACCTCAGCTGGACTCAACATAA